TTATTTAAGAATTACAATGGGTAAAAGGCTCCACACCTTTTCCTTTCAGTCATTCTAGTGGTGCCTGGATAGCCACATCCCCAGACAAGATAGCATTTACCTCTTGGCAACTATGGTGATGGTTAATTTTATGTGTCAACTTGACTTGGCTAAGAGATGCCCAAAGAGCTGATAAAACTTATATGGGTGTATCTGTAAGGGATTTTCTAGAAGACATTAGTGTCTGAATCAGTAGGCTGAGAAAATCCACCCTCTCCAGTGTGGGCCAGCATCATCCAATCCTTGGAGGTGTTGAATAGAAAAGGCAGAGGGAGGGTGAATTCCCTTTTTCTTTTTGAGCTGGGATATCCATCTGTCTCCCCTGGCCCTCGGACATCAGAGTTCCTGTTCTCAGGACTTTGGACTCGGACCAGGACTTACACCATTGGTTCCACCCCCACCCAATTCTCAGGGCTTCCAACTTGGACTGAATTATACCACTGGCATTCTTGGTTGTCCAGCTTGCAGAAGGCAGATCTTGGGACTTAGGCGCCTCCATAATTGCATGAGTAAATTCCATAATCAATCAATCTCTCTCTCTCCCCCCCCTCCCCCCACCCCAATCTCTCTCTCTCTCCCTCTTTCTTTCTCTCTCCCCTCCCCTTATTGCTTCTGTTTCTTTGGAGAACCCTGAATAATACAACTACCTAGATGCTGAATATCACACACAGATTTCTCTAAGTGAAAAGAAAAAATATCAAAAACCTTGGTTTTGTGGATTCTGAGGACATTTGGCCATACATATTTTTCCCTGATTAAAACCACCTTTTTAAATCTTAATATGACTTCCCATAGAACTGATATGCAGTAAAATTCTACCTTGGGCCAGAAAGGAACGTCTGTTCAACAAAACTCTTTGAGTCCCTTATAATGTCCACATCAAAAAGCCTCCACTGGGATTCAGGCACCCAAGATGAAACACAGTTACAGCAGGGTATCACAGCTCATTTGGGGTCTATCCTGCAGGCCGGAGCTCCAAACTGTCCTTAGGAGCTTAAAAGTTGCATTCACTGAAGGAGAGAAGCAGCAATGTCAGGGAGATAAAGGAAAAATAAATGCGGCTATGTGTTCAAAAGACAGAGAGTATGCCTTAAATAAACAAAGAAGCCAGCAAATAAAGAAAAAGAGAAAAGAGGAAGACCCTGTTCATAGGAGTTGCCACCTCAATAAGGCATTTTCTTTCTTTCTTTCTTTCTTTTTTTTTTTGAGACGGAGTCTCGCTCTGTCGCCCAGGCTGGAGTGCAGTGGCGCGATCTCGGCTCACTGCAAGTTCCGCCCCCCAGGTTCGCGCCATTCTCCTGCCTCAGCCTCCCGTGTAGCTGGGACTATAGGCGCCCACCACCACGCCCGGCTAAATTTTTTTTTTTTTTTTTGTAGTTTTTTTTTTTAGTACAGACGGGGTTTCACCGTGTTAGCCAGGATGGTCTTGATCTCCTGACCTCGTGATCCGCCCGTCTCGGCCTCCCAAAGTGCTGGGATTACAGGCGTAAGCCACTGCACCCGGCCAATAAGGCATTTTCTAAGGGATTGTTCACCACAATTTGATGTAAAACAGCATCCAGCAGAGAGAATACTGACTAAGATCCTAGCTGGGAGATCTACAGCAGGGATATCAGCAGCTGTCACAGAAAAACTGATGGGCAATACTTACTTGAAAGAATAAATGTTCCTGTTTCCTGGACAAGTGCAATCACTGGCCAGCCAACACCAGCACATGGTCCTCCTTGCTGCCACATCTCATCAGTGCTAAAAGCTCCATGACCCATGCGTGACTGTCAGCTTTTATTTCCATATTACTGACCCACCTGAGTGGCCACAGACCCTCTCAACTTGACTTCCAGCCGATACCATCAGCTAACAGCTGCAGCTCTCTCCCTTCAGCGAATGCCCCACTCCCTATTCTGTGATTCAAGCCTTGAGATATGGAGGTCTTCTCTGATTCCTACTTGTATAGCTGGCTATCCACAATGTGTCTTTTCCAGTATGATTTATCCTTCATCCTTTCTTAAAGAAACAGAGAAGTCAGTAGAAAGGCTGGCTTTTACCCATCTGTTCATCTCAAAATATCACCTTCAAAAATGAGAACCCTGGTCAGGTGTGGAGGCTCACGCCTGTAATCCCAGCATTTTGGGAGGCCGAGGCGGGCAGATCACAAGGTCGGGAGTTCGAGACCACCCTGGCTAACAAGGCGAAACCCTGTCTCTACTAAAGATACAAAAAATTAGCCAGGCGTGGTGGCACACACCTGTAATCCCAGCCACTCGGAAGGTTAAGGCAGGAGAATCGCCTGAACCCTGGAGGCGGAGGTTGCAGTGAGCCCAGATTGCGCCACTGCACTCCAGCCTGGGTGACAGAGTGAGACTGCATCTCAAAAAAAAAAAAAAAAAAAAAAAAAAAAAAGCATGAGAACCCTATCAAATGTCAGGTAGCCCCTTACCCCAATTGTAGAATATCCACATGTGATGTTAATTAGTGATTTTTCTCTTTGAGAAAATTTGTTAACCTTTTAGATATTTAGATTCTTAGCCTCATACAGAAAAAAACCCAGCAACAACAAACAGATGAAGACTGCGTCCAACTCTAAAATGACAGGATTCATTGGGTCTGTGGTCACAAAGGATACCTTTTGGTTCTTACCCTGAGCATCTGATGCCAGGACTGCTGTAATATCATCCCAACCGGTCTTGTTTTTGACCTCATATTACCACAGTTTATACTCATAATTACTACCGATTAACCCTTGAAATCTATAGCTCTAAATATATCATTCTCTGGACCCAAATTTCTGAAGGCTCCTAAGTAAGGAAACAAAAATTAGTTTTCCTAAAAATCAAACAGCCAAAACAGTGAAAAATAGTAAAGATTAGGTTCCAAAGTGTGCGTGTGTGTGTAAATTATAACTAGCTGTAACAAATTTTAGTTTCAGCCAAATAGAAAATTTTGCTATTTTGTACACATGATTTTTACAATTTCACGTATGTGACATTCCTTTTGTAAAAAAATTGGCCTCCCCTACTATCACAACAGAAATCCAACATACCCATTAAAGTCCAACTGAAGTCATTCTGTAAGACCTCTGGAGTAGATGGATCACCAGAGCTCCATCTCCTGAACTTTGGGCTACCAATTTAATGTAATTCATCCAGTCACTTGTATATAATATTCAGTGACAGCACTGCCTTTGTGGCCTCTCTTAAACTATTGACCAACTCATATGTGTGAATCATCTATCTCCAGATGGACAGAATATTGTTATTTTATATCAACACTGTATCATGCATGGCACTTAAAAGAGATGTGGCATCTAATATTTGTTTCTTTTTAAATCACTTTGGAAGGGTACCTACAATTATAATTATCCATACAAACACAGTTTAATGCAAAGGAAACCAACGCTAAATACTGTTGACCGTTAAGTTGCTGGGTTGAAGTCACAGCCCAGGCGTCCTGACTGGTCTCTTATCATCCACTCTGCCACAGTGACCACGGGAGGCACTCTTTGAAGTGCTGGGACCGAAAGAGTTACATATTTGGGCATCTCCTCCAGCACAATTGCAAAGATGCAGAGTTTTTACTTAGGCAGGTAAATCTGGCCCTCGTTGTGCCTCTGGCATCGGGGGGAAAAATTAACCAACTGTCGAATAAAATATAACAACCCTGTGGATTAAATGACTAATACTCTGTCTGAGCTGGTCAGGCTTTGCCTCTGTTAACTGCACCATCCTGGACCAAATGCACTGTGGCTTGACTCCAGAAACAAAATTGTACATTCTGCTGAAAGGGTAGCCAGGCTGCTCAAGAGGAAAAAAAAAAATGAATTGTAAATTCTTTCTATTTTTAGGCTTAATGTGCATTTTATTTGGCAGTAGGGGCAGTATGAATAAAACTCCAATCTTAAGAATTTTAATTTGCTTCCTTTAAAATGCTCCTGTCAGTAGAGACCTTGGGAAGTTGCTTGTACCATGCTCCTACCTTCAAAAATACCACACATCTATGTAAACCCAGACAAATAAAACCCCAGAATATTCCCCTCACTTAGTTAAGTCCAGTATTTCTTTAAATATATGTAATTTCTAATTCATGATTCCTCTAAGGAGAATACTCAGAATGACTTCACTGAATAATGCATTTCACAAGGAGTATTCTAGTATTTCACCAATTATCCCTCTGGCTTTTATGGCCAGAGTTTCTCTCACATTTGCCTGTGTAAATGCTACTTCTTTTTCATTTTAACTTGATTTTATTAGCTATTGCTAGCCTTTTATTCTACCCGAGAATACAAGTTTCCTTAAAGGCAGGGACCATATGTATGTTATAGTATATATGCCGTATAGAATACATAATATATATTATAGGATGACATTTTATGGGATGTATGCACACATACACACACCTAATATCATGAGCTCATTTAATCCTTTCTCACGAAGTGACTTCTTCAACCTTACTACCAAGTGAAGAAAAGTTCTGAGATGACTAGGTTCTGCATAAGGTTACCTACATACATCATTATTTTTCCTCTGGCCATTTCTCTCAGTGTTTCAGCAAAACCTTACTTCCTGTTCTTAACCTTTTCAGGGTTATGCTTCCCTTTAAGAATCTGAGAAAAGCCATGGGTCCTTTGCCAAGAGAAATGATCACCAATCCACTAAGACACTGTCTCCCACTCAGTGGGGGTCAGAGACTCCTGACTGTCTTAAGCATCTATGCTAAGAACTGCTTCTCCACCGCGTCTCACTTAGTACACCTAATCTTTATTTGGTAAGTGGTTTCAGATATTTACATGATTTAAACAAGCAACCTGAGACTCTCCTTGCTTTCCCTTGTCCCAGTAGCACAGAGGTCAGGCTACTGCTGAGAACAAAAATGATCATTGAGGTGAAATGAAGAGATAATTAAATTAGCACTATTTTCCCTGGAGAACCATGATTCACTGTCTCAAACAAGGTAAGCATGCTCACCTTTTGGTCTTGACTGTATGCCAGAATCCAGTCTTCTTGCTTGGGATGGAAAAGCAAGCTTTGAATGTAGAAGTTCAGCCGGTACTTTTGATAAGTTGCGCCTTCATCTGAGCTGATCAGTAAGCTGCTCTCAATCTCCGGGTCTGTGAGTAACATTATCTGCAGCAAAGAATTGTTGGAGAAAGAAACAACAGAAAATTAAGTTTACAAATTTGCAAAACTTGAAAATTAGCTAAATTTTGACAAGGGAAGGACAGGGGCAGGTAAATAATGCTTGGCCAAACAGGGACCTTGGCTCTGTCAGGCTTATTCTTCCATCTTGGATCAGTGCTACAAAAATATTTCTACAAAGAAATGAAGGGAGTAGGAGAAGCTGAAAGAATGAGGGATGAAATAGGTAACTGTATACTCTTCTCTTTTAGGGGACTCCTTGTTTTATTTCCAAGGTTGTTTCCTAAACCTGGCACACTTACCCTTCTTCCCTTCTTCCTACTGTGCCTTATGTACTTTCCATTTTGGGGGACTAAAAGACTGGTTATAGTCTGTTGTGGGAAAGGTGGAAGAGAAAGAGGATGGAGTCCATTGTTTTTCTTCCCTACCTCAAATCCTTTCATTCCACTTCAATGATATCCTATGTCATCCTAACTTAGCCTGATTTTCTGAGTCTTAAGTCAAAGTGTAGGCTCTGAAGCTTTCTCTAGGAATTTTACAAAGGCTATGTTACCCCACCACCCCCATCACCTTCTAGCCTACTACATAATTTACTTATTTATTTTGTTTCTTGTCTGCATATCCTCTACTAAAAAATAAACCCTGTGACAATAGAGATAGCTGTCAATAGAGTTCACAGATGTATTTTCAGCAGCTAGACTAAGGTCCGGTATGTATGGTACACTGATAAATATTTGTCAAATGAATGAATGAATAGATGAGTACATAGAAAGATGCCCAGAACACTCTGAGATATGGATGGAAGCTTCACAACTTCTAAGTCCACATGAGTCTCTAAAACTCTCTGCAAGAAAAGTTGGTTGCTCTTCACAACCTGCACCACAGAAGAAGCTACAAATATGTAAATATTCACAGCTTCAGATGTTTTACACTGTCTCACTGGGATGCCCAATTTTGTCCAGAGGAATGGGATCAATCACAATAGCAGCAAGACGGAGGAGCTGCCCTCAAAACTATCTTAAATCCTCTCGTTTTATGCCTCCAGGAATCTGTGATAAATTACTTCATTCCCAACTCTCTGTGGGTCTCCTTTCACTCACTCAAAGTGTGCACCTAGTGTCTCCAGGCAGGTGGCCTTAATGCTACCCATTGGCCTCTTCCCCATCAACTTATTAATTGGCACTTTCTGAATTTGGTTCAGGAAAGCATGAAATATGTGCTTAATGTGTTGCTGTATGAAGAGAAATCACTGCAGCCCAGGGTTTAAAGATTACAAGCTGAGGATGCTGCACTTCCAAGAAAGAGAGAGAGAAGGGGGAATAGAGTCATATCTTAAAAGAGCAGAGTGCCAGGCAAACACATGAAGCTTTCTCAAGCATTTGGAGGCAATCATATTAAAGCCTCTGAACAGTTAGTGTCATCTTTGAAAGTGGTGTCCTGTCTCTGTAAATGACACAAAAGGATCGCATGTCAGACACTCTGCCCAAACTCTGTTTATGTTATCCAGTACGAATTTAAGGTTCCTTGCTGTTCTTTCAACATCCCCTTCTTGAAGAGGAGAAAAGGGATGTAATGGGGTGAAGGCAATGCTGTTGCTGTCAGCCACACTCCCGACAAGATGAAAAGTGCACACAAAATTGAAGACTAATTGCCTCTTGTACCATGTTCCAGGAAAGCCACTGCTCACCAACCATAAATTCTGACAAAGTTATGGATTTCTCTGTCTCACGTTCACCAAGCAGACAGCGTTCCCTCATCAGATGGCTGACAAGGAGCCATCAGGTAATCTACTAAGTACAAACTTATATGGCTTCATTAAAATCTAGTGTATGCATTAAGCAAGTATATTTAGATGGCTCCTAATTCACAGGAATATTTCCAGATGAGTTCATATTTATGGGCACAAAAAAGCTGTCATTTTTTGAATAACAAATAAGCCATCAAATGATCATATTGCTTTGTGTCTCTAACCACAATTAACAATAATGTAAAAAAACCTTTTTGCACTACTGCCAAAAAGTCATTTCCATGATAATATGAAGAGGCTCAATTTTATAGAACATCTACTGTCTCAGGCAAGGTGATTCCCTCCCCTACTCTGATTTTCTAGTTCCCTGTTAGCCAGAATATGCTTTCCTCTTTTTCCATGAGAACAGATCTCCCCACCTGCTTCTCCTGGCAGAATACTTAATCAAAATAAAATTAAACACAATTATAAACTAGGCCTACAGAATATTCCCAAAGCAAGCTGATTTTTATCAATCACTTTAAAATATTGTTGATACTCATTTATACTCCACATGATCAGACTGCATAAGGCATCTCACATCAGGTAATCTTGGGTGCGAGTGGCAGAGTAATGCACATATTTCCCAACAGATGGAAACTTAATGTTATAAAAATAAAGCGACTCATATCCTTGGCTTTTTTTCTGGATATTGAAAATAGGCAGACCAAAATGCCACCTTCTCTATGCAGCCCTCAGCTAAAACTCTCCATTTGAGAATTTGACATTTTGGAAATAATGGGAAATAGTGAGAAATTTCCCAGTGAGCTTTATAGGTATGTCTGTACTACAGAAACATTCCAGTGGTTTCTCTCTCAAATTTCTGCTCAATTCTACCCAAAATGAACAGGTCAATCTGGATCCATTTTTCATTAGTTATTTTTCTTATTGCAGAAACAACTCCATAAGACCTCCAGTAGAATTCAAAAGGAAAAAAAAAAAATTATGACCCTAGGTTTGTATTTCTTTCTACTTCTTTATCCACATCTCTATATCCTATTGTTGATTGAGAATTGATGATGTTTTCTTTTTTTTTTTTAAGTTTGACATTATGACCCAATTTTTTTCTTTTATTTTTTGAGACAGAGTATCCCTCTGTCACCCAAGCTGTAATGCAGTGACACAATCTTCATTCCCTGCCACCTCTGCCCTCTGCCTCCTGGCTAAATTTTGTATTTTTAGTAGAGTTGGGGTTCGCCATGTTGGCCAGGCTGGTCTTGAACTCCTGACCTCAAGTGATCCACCCACCTCAGCCTCCCAAAATGATGGGATTACAGGTGTAAGACACTGTGCCCGGACCCCCAAATATTCATTTGTAACTGAGCCATAAACACACAAATGCACACACATTAACACACATGACTGTAAAATCTACTCCAATTAATCACAACCTTCAAATTAATTAAATTATGATTGTTGTAATGGCTGAAACATAGTATGTACCTAATTATTAATTGAATAAGTAAAACCTTATTTAGTCTTAAATTCAAATTCTTTAATAATTTTGCTTCAAGTGAATTGATGTTTGTCCTATCATTTTATCAGTCATAAAATATAAATAAGCTAATAAGTAAAAAATTTAATGAGATCTAAATAAAAAAGGCTTAACATACTTGAGAAACAAATACTGTAAATAAGAAATGTGATCCAGTCTTTAGACATAGATGATATTTTTCATAAATGAATAAGTCATCTCTTCTCACAAGATTTTCTACTTGGAAATATTTTCAAAATAGTAAGTTCAAATTAGCAAATACTCTTCAAAAACAATAGATTACATTTCTTAAAGATGCCTAACAATCCCTATTTTTGCTAGTTCAGAATGACTCTTTATCCCCTTCTGACTCTTCATGTAACTGAACAAATAATGTTTTGTTGTGTTTACTTCTCTGTATTCTGGAGTATGTTCCAGACAACAGAATTTTAGGAGGCCTTTCTAAAAGGCAGGAATCCAAGCTTTGCAGATTCCTAGAGCAAGCTCTCTAAAAAAGAGAGGTCATTGTTTGCCTGGAACAAAGCTTGTTCCATAGTAGGTCCACATATCACTGTAAATGAATAAAGGAATGGACTAATGAATGAATGAGTCCTTTTCATTCCTGCCTTCTGCTGCCTGGAGGCCAGGGACCCCTGTCACATTGGGAGTTCCAGTCCCGTTGAGCAAATCCTCGCTGTTCTACTTGAGGCAAGGAGGGTGAAGATAAGAGAAAGAGACTGCCTTTAACAGGAAAGTAATTATTCTCTGTTCAGATCCACCCATGAGTGATTACAGTCAGTTTACTTATGCCTTGCAGGGTGTGCCGACGCTGCACTGACTGCACCTGCAGATGAATTGTTTCCACAGAAGGTCAATAATGGCAACACAGGATCCTGCCACCCAACTCCAAACAATCATTCATCACCCACTTCCAGGAGGAGGAAGAAACTTTATTTGCTTTTCCTAGAGCAGACAAATGAACATGAAATGCAATTTATAGATTTCAAATACGTCACTTCTCTCTCTTTTTTTTTTTTTTTTTTTTGGTATTAGTCCTTCTGACAGCTCGGTGCTATCAAAAATTAAACGTACTTTCACTGTCTTTGGCTTGCGCCAGATTCAACATATGGCTACAGGAAGTAATTCTACAAAAGGTTGGCAGGCAGCTTTCTGATCCTTCCAAGTTGTCGTCTACTGTGGACCTTCTTCCCAGAGGAATGCTGCTACTATCTAATTTTCCAAATTATTTTCCTAGATATGTTGTTCTTGGAATTCACCATTTACTGGTTTATGTGGCATGGAGTTAATAAAGAGTTCTTCAGTACCTCTGGTCAATTCTACCATTTTCGTACCATTTCTTTGGTCTTAATGGAAAAAGTATTTATTTCATGTGTTGTTCATTATTTGTTTGCTCATTTGTCTACTCCTTGTCATAAATGGGCTGGAATCAAGCAGAGGTAATGGGCTGCTGTGTGGATATCTCTCTTGCTTTACTCAGAGCTTAATTCAGCTCCAGATGCCCATATCACAGGTGCATAATAAATGCTTTTCATAATGATAATGACAACAGCAAAGCAAAACAGCAACAGCAGCAATTAGGCACTCCAGTTATCTACTGCTACCCACTTTACTCAAACAGAAATATTTCTCTCTATAAACAGCACGGAAGTCTATTTGCAAACCTCTGACCTCAAAACTGAAAACAAATTAAGCAAAATGTAATCAGAG